TCTCAACTTACATTAGTTAGCCGCGCGTCTATTTCAATATTCGGCGCCATGAACATCCTAACCGAGGTGATTCCTTGACGCCCAGCATGTCAAAGAGCAACAGTTTGTTAAATATCAAGAGCACTTCTCGATCCAATTCTCCGGTCGAGCGCATAAGCTAAATGTTTGGTCGCGTCAACCAGTTGTTCAGACACCTCTCCCGCGCGCAACCCAATTACGTCCATCGCTCCGCTACCACAGCTTGTCGTGCGCTACGAACTCATCCGATGACATCATATACGGAGACAGCGCTGGCGAACGGCAGGAGAACCATACGCACGGCAGCATGTTTGATAATCGGTGATGAAGTCCTGGGCGGCAAGGTGGGTTCGATTTCAATGTTATGAGCATTTTCTGGATTTCCTTCATTCTGCCACCCCACACTCTGACACCCTGTCCTCCAGACCGTCGACACCAATTCCCCTTTTTTTGCAAAATATTGTTTCTCCTTGGGTATACATTTAAAGCGCGTGGAGGTCATTGCAGATGATGAAAATGAGATTATCGAAGCCGTGACGCGCATGAGTGACAAATACGACTTCGTCGTGACGAGTGGAGGGATAGGTCCAACGTCCGTATATTGAATACACGTTCCCCCCTCAATCCCTTAAACAGGTGCAATTAAACATACACAAATTCCACTCATTTATTACATACACTGTCCCGTGCAACAACACAGCCTGATTACCACGCTACACAAACATGCTGACTTTCTTGGGATGCGCGAGCGGTGATGGGAGTAGGCGCAGGGTCTAGATACCCCACCTCCCTGTCATCCCTCCATCCCTCCCAATTCCCCATAAAACAGCCATGATGACATTACCTATCAATCGATAGCAAAAGCCTTCGGACTAAAGCTCAAATTACACGAAGAGGCTCTAGCACGGATGCGCAGTCTGTCCAAGCCATCACAAGTGAATTCTGATTTCGACTGGGACAAACCCTCCCCCGTTCTCACAGCGCGACTACGCATGGTCGAAATCCCCACAGACGACAACATCCCCTTAGGGGACCAGGCCCTGTTCGTCGCCGACGATCTCTGGATGCCCATCTCCGTCGTGAACGGGAACATCTTTATCCTCCCCGGCGTTCCCAAGCTGTTCGAGCGCCTCTGCCACGCCCTCCAGCCACGGCTACGGCTCCGCCTTCCTGACCCGGAGGGGGTTGGGATTCACCGTCTCATGTTCGCGACGCCGCTGTATGAAAGTGCGGTTGCGCCGTATCTGACAGAGCTGGCGGCCAGGGTGGAACCGCGTGGTATTAAAGTGGGGAGTTACCCGCGATGGGAGAAAAAGTTCAATACGGTGACGTTGGTTGGTACGGATCTGAAGTATATGGAGAGCCTTATTCCTGAGGTGGAGGAGCAGGTGCAGGGGCGGAGGGTTATGAAGGAGGATGAGATTGATCCTCTTGAAGATGAGACGGAAAACCCCAAGTAAGATAACAAATGGTGGTGTGGTAATGCCATTAGAATATGTTGGGTGTTTTCATTTATGTTTATTATACATTGCCATATTTAAGAGACAAAAATTCAGGATATTTATCTAGACCAATTTCAAAGTTTTGGCAGGTTTAAAATGTTTTTATTGAAATAAAACCATTTTTCTCCTTTAGAGTGCTGAAGGTCTACATTCTTTCAGGCTGGTGTTGCATATTCTTTTTCATATTTGCTCAATATACTATTCTCTCAATTACAGCCCTACTTATATTTCATTTCATCTCATTTCTTTATTTTTCTCAAACCCTCACACACTTGTGGTGAAATGGCAAAAAAGTATACAATAGCGAGGCACCAGCAGCCAGGGTAAGAAGCTACCAAGAAGTCAAAAAATATCAAAAACATACGACAGCCGGGATTCGCTGGTGGTCACCCACCCAACTTCTACCTAGACCAAAAAGTCCAAAAGACAGCTAGCTACAGCTAGCAAACCCCTATCCACCCTTATATATAAACCCCCGGGCCTCTGGGGCAGGGCATCATAGCTGGCCGACGGGTAGCTTAAGTACGGCTGAGCGGACGGAAGCCCTGGTTTCAACTCCCTGGTCGTATGTGCTAGAAACTAATAGTATGGGTCATTTTGATAGCAAATAACTACCTTACCATACCTATAAAAACAAGGGCCACTGCTTTCAAATCGGTTCCCTTTTGATGATAGGTAGATCGGGACAACCGACGCCGCAGCACACGCAGTGTTCACAGTACAGTAGTATGAGTAATAGTTGCGCTTTAATTCTAGTATCACATACATCGATTTCCCCATCTCACGGTCAACTCTCAATGAAGTGCGCGGGGGTCCCAAATAAGACAAACCCGGAACGACTTAAGTACCAATCTACGTGGAATGCATGTACATACACACCCAAGCTGAAATACCAGATAATGATGACTGGATTTATCCTTCGCTCCCTTTTTGATCTTTTTAGTAATATTTTTATAACACAAGATGTCCGTATGATCACGGTGGGAAAAAGAGAGGGGGAGGGAGAAGTAGTGAATAGCTCAGTTGGGGAAGGCCAAGAGCATACATATTATGTTAGCGAAGAAAGGTAGATTCCGTTGTCTTAGAAAACAGACGTAAGGAATTGGCACCGGTAGCGATAAAGATACTGTAATAGGAGAGATGGAAAGGATAGATAGATATAGATCAAGATAAATATATGAAAATAGAATATGAAAATTTTAAGGGACAGATAGTTATGCAGAGAAGAAATTCCATACTCAATATAAAGAGATGAAACAGGCACATGATGCGTGAGAATAGAGAAAATTATCGCCATAAAATGAGAAACCAAGATGAAGAAACGAAATTGAATATTGTTTAAGTTTGATACTGATGCTAGTGGACAGAATTTCACCACACATGAAACAAAAAATAAAATAGGAAAGGCAAAACCTAAAAAGGCAGAAACAGATAACAGAAAACGAGGTAACGAAATCCGGTTTGACAGAGGTAGTTAAGAGGAAAAGAGAGAGAGAGAAGAAAATGAATAGAAGAAAATAGAAGGGAGAGGAGAAAGTGGGGAAGATACATACATATACGTAAAAGAAGGAAGAATAGAAGCTGCCAAGTTTCAAAAGCCATATGTGATACACGGCCTTTATTGAGCAGCTAGGCAGGTGTCATTTAACCGGTTATCAGGTGTTACGGATCGAGGGAGGATGGGAAGAGGAAGAGAAGAGGAGGGCAGGGAAATATAATGAAATATAATAAGTAGGCAGCAATTAACATGATAGAGCAAATGTAAGATAGGGACAGTGAAATGAAACTTATGGAAAGGAGAGACATGTCTTAGAAATGAAATAAGAAAAGGTAAGAAATAAAGAAATAAATAATTGAAATGAGGAAGAGAAAAAAAGAAAATAAAAAAGAAATTACTAGTAAATAAGCATCCAGGGGCAAACTCCGAGAAGTATAGGATGGTGGAGGAAGATAAGATAGGAAAACAACTGCAGGGAACAGGGAGAGAAATAGGAGTCGGAATGGAGGCAGGCTAGTTAAAGAGTTGATTTCGTGAAAGAAATGATAATATGGTGACAATCAAATACGAAGAGGTGGGAGGGAAAGGAATACAAGGCGATGGGGCGGGTTATTAAAAGAACACCGGAAGAATTTTTCATCGGTGTTTTCTTCTGCTTTGCTTTGCCTCTCTGGCCTGGATGCCAGGTTGCCTGCCCGTCCGTTGCTCGTGACAACCAATTGAAAGAAGTAAAAAGGTGGTACCCGGTATGGAAATGGTTCTTTTGATGAATTCAAATGTATTTTCTTTTGGTTGCTTGAGAAACCTGAGAGGAGCGGAATTGGCGGAGAAGGAAAGCAGGGGATTAGGGAGAAGGGATGTCGGTCAATGAACATGTGCAATAGTTCGGACAGCCGAAATAGTCCAAAAGGAGTTCGCATTTAGGAGGGTTGTGGTATTTTCCTCTGTGTCTTTTTCTTTTCATGCATTTTCAAGTTCATCCGCCATCATTCTATCCATCATCGATCCCTTTCCCGTTCTTTTTTCAGCCTTGATTGTCCTGTGCATTTCCTGTTTCAATTTCTTCCTCGAGCGGTGGTAAGTGATAAAATAATGTCTGTTGCCATGCCATAATAGAGAGATGATCGTTCCCCGTGTTGTTTTCATGGTTTAATAAGGAGAATGAGCTTGCCCTGAAGAAAATATTTAAAAACTCGATTTTTTTCCTACATGATGACGCATTTTCCGCAACAAGTACTGCCATGTTCACGGTCCTCTACATCCATTTTTTCAGGGGCTCGAGAGCCAAAGCCACCGCCCCCAGATGAATACGAGGACATCTCTTTATTATAGCGACGGATTTCCCGTACAATATCGTAGAAAGCGTTGTCAACATTGATACGTGATTTTGCAGAGGTTTCGATAAACTTGCATCCAAAGTCCCGGGCCAATGCTTCACCCTCTGTAGTTTTACATATACGGTTTCGTTAGCACTGCTCTTAGATATGGGACAGAGAGAGATAGAAACATAGACATAGAGGGGTGTTATTTGTAGTCCATACCTTGCTGAGATACCACACGTTCCTTCTCCAAGTCGCATTTATTGCCAACAACGATGATGGGGAAGTAGTCCTTGTCCTTGACTCGCAATATTTGTTGCTGATAAGTCATTATTTCCTCGAACGATTGTCTAGAAGTGATGGAGTAGACCAGCAAGAAGCCTTCGCCTGTGCGCATGTATTGTTCTCGCATTGCTGAGTATTCCTCCTGTCCGGCTGTGTCGAGGACGTCGAGCAATGCCACCTCATCGTCGATAACACATTGCTTCCGGTAAGAATCTGTTCACGTCACAATTGGATTTTTTAAGCTATCTAAACATGGCTGAATGTTGAAAGGAAAGGGAGGGAGGGAGAATGAGAGCTGCACACCTTCGATTGTTGGATCGTATTCATCAACAAAGTGACTCTGGATCAATTGGATGGTCAAGCAGGATTTGCCAACACCGCCACCACCAACCACTACCAACTTGTATTCTCGAAGAAACTAGCGGTTGAAACAATCAATGGGTCAATTAGTAAAATATATCCAGAACTTGTGGGTGCTTTTGCTATTTTACCCCGTCCCATTCTCGAGATTGGGACATTGGGACGCATGGAGGTTGATGGAAATGGGTATGCAAATGGGGACGCAAATTGGAGTGGAAGTGGCAATAAAAGGGTCCAAGTCGCTCACCTTTGATGCCATGATGATTGAATTGGTTGGCTGTTTATGGTTTATTTTTGTGTAAGATGGGAAGCGAAATTCGATTGGGGAAAAAGGGTTTCGATAACCGTCAAAAGTTTCGTGCGAAGAGCGAGAGGAGGGTGTCAATTGCAGCACTCTGAGGGGATGAGGTTTGGTAAGGTTTTTGTGAGGAGAAATCTGCGCCAAAAATATATTCAACCACACTACACTTAGGGGCGAACAAGTGTTGCTGAAACCACAAACAACCACTACCAGGAACCCAACCCAGGTTTGGATCAGGGAGGTTGGTTGAAGCAGGGCGAAATTCGACC